CTACTACTACTATAGTATAGTATATACATATATATATATATATATATTATACATATATATATATTAACAAGCATATCAGATGATACAAGTTGTCAGATTGTCTCGCAAGCCCGGATAGAAACTGTAAGCCTATAGCCATCGTTTTTAATTTTTGATTTACAGAATGATGAATTGATGTCCCACACACTCATAGTAGCGAGCGTATGACTATTTGTTCTGTACAGCACTTCTTGCAATCTCTTGAAGGTTACTTTTGTCCTTTTGAAAATCGCCTGCAGCTGCAGTTAAATCGTCAGTGGTCTCTGATTCGGCTGGCAAATTGGTTTTCTCTGTTGTAGAATATTGAATTGATAAAAGTAGATTAGTTTACTTACGTGTGATATCTCTGCGAAAATAAATATTTTACTCCAAACGTATCGCGAAGATTCGAAGAAATCAAGAATCGACATACTTTTAGCGATTACTACACGCGAAGAGATGGCGTGCAGCAATGCTTCTTGATCTTGCCTGGATACCTATGAAGGTAAGGTAAAGGGAAGGGAGTGAGTCGACAAAAGGTACATTCATATACGAGAAAATAGAAAAATGGAAGTCATTACGCCTACCTGGCAGCCAAACCAGAATAGATATCAGAACATACCACAAGTAAATATGTCTTCATGATTTGCTTGGGTTTGCCATCAATATCCTCAAATTCAACAGCAACGAAGCGTATTTGTTTCATATTTACAGGCTCGATTGTCATTCCGTCGAACAATTTGACATTCAAGAGCAACTTCATTGATCCCAGAGATCGTAGTACTGAAGGCCAAGAGAATGGAACGAACGATTGAGCATTTGTATTATTACTGTAGCGACGTTCAGTACTATACCCAATCACCATACACTCAACGTGATCAAAGACGCCGGACCCTCAACTCAATCGAAGCGAAGGGCAAGAAAATAAAATGAGGTACAAACCAGCGACTGACGAGATGTAGAAAGAAGAAAGGAAATTGATGAGTCCTCATTACCCAGTCGTGAGCCGTTCACATCGTCGCGTGCTTCATTTAGGCTTAGTTGGCCCTCACCAAGACTATTCCAGACACCTTGAGCCGAATTTAACTGGTGCAATCTCGCGCGACACTATAAATGGGGAGGAAAAGTTGAAAAATACCACTTGTAACAATAGAACAACATATAATCAATTAAAGCAAGACATTAGACTATATAATATCTCGGATTCCAAGACAAAAGCACGCATCTAAAGTTGACACGTCCAGCTCTATTCTAATGTCTCGCCACACAAACACAAACACACACCGGCACGCCCTAAATATATATACATATACATATACATATACATATACATATACATACACACACACTCTCTCTCTCTCACACACACACACATATTAATACATATACGTTTAATATTGAGATATGAATAAAAACATTTATACATAAATACATCAATACGTACGAACGTACATGTATACATATACATACATACATACATACGTACGTATATATATACACATACATTCATACATGCATACAAACATACATATATGCTAATATATGTACATACACATATATGCTAATATATGTACATA